CCCCGATCCACACAATGTCCGCAGGGATCCATATCTGCACAGTATCCACAGGGATCCCCAATCCATTCGATATCTATGAGTATCCCCGATCCACACAATGTCCGTAGGGATCCAATATCTGCACAGTATGCACAGGGATCCCCTATTACACAGTCTCTGTGGGAATCACTATCATGAGGATGCGCAGTCCACACTGCATCCGTACGGATCCCTTCCCACACGGTGCTCAGAGGGGTCTACACCTATCTCTGGTGACCACTTGTCTACGTCCAGACAGTACGTTCGTTTGTTGTTTTTTAGATTCTCGAGGCAAATGGCGAGAGCTCCGGCGCCTGCGAGACTCGGGGTAGGCCACCCCGCAGTACACGAATGCACTGCAGGCGAGATGTTGCCTACCCAACAGGCGTTATGAGAGCTTGCAGAGGTCGAACTTGGCAGGTTCGTAAAGGCGAATGGCGGACTTACTTTCTGGATGATCCCTATTCGTACAGTATCTTAAAGTTATTAATAATTACCATTGTATCCCTAGTGACCGTGGATTGTCACAAGGAATCATAGGGTAAAGTTAATAGAAAAACATAATACTTCGAGGCAAGTGATTCTTTATTGAATGTGTCCCATGCATCTGATTGCCAGGCATTGCACTATTGACAAAAAAATCCAGAATTAATATGAAAATAACTACTTTTGTGTATATAAAAATTATTGTATAATTCACATTAAGTAAATGATATATTTTAATACTTCACGATACTTTAACTTTACTTCCTTCAACATGTGGCAACAAATAAATAGGAAGCAACTTAATGACGTAGTGTACGAGATTATACAACGTTTCCTACAGTCATTTGCTAAATACTAAAACAGTCATCTCTGACAAATGTCTCCACAACAAGAATTACTACAAAACTGCGTGTGAAAGTGGCACTTTCAAACTAAATATCACATTGAAACACAATTAGTACCGTAAGTATCACAGTAGGTGTCAGAAGGTATCACAAGTTGTTAATCTAACTCTAAACAGTTTGGCATAGCAGCTAGGTACTTTACATTTCCCACTGTCATGGCAACAACAGGGCAACGCACTCTGTCCAAGGGAAGGAAATGAAGTAAATCACCATCAGGGCGGATGACTGAAAGATGCTGAGCGATGGGATGATTGTGTTGCACTTCGTGTTCTAGAACAATTAGTCCGCTTCCTTCTTCCCCATTTGCTGATGTAAAAGTTATTGCTTTCTGAATGGTGCAATACGTATTTTCTTGGGTAAAGATGTGAGTGTCATCAGATCGACTGTCAGGGTTCTGTCCACGTACTGTTTGGTACCGGGTATGTCCAATCAAGACACTTTTGTATTCATGGAAATTAATAACTCCAGGGAATCCCTCCCTAAGAAGGACCTGAGTCTCAGCTGGAGTGACCTCCCTTTCAACACTTTTCCCTACCATGTACAAGTTGGGACCCACCTCAAGAACATTCTTTAAGCGTTCCTTATTTAACATGTGCTGAAGCCTTTCCCTGACACTTTCAGAAATGCGTTCATCATATTGAGCAGAATGCACAGTCATGTTTAGTAAGGAGCGAGTTAAGATCTGCATAGCTGCACCTTTTGGTGATGTCACAAATTTTGTTAACTTGCAGTTTAACGACTCAAAGTTATAGGTGCTAGTACAGTACGGTGGTCCTAATTGCCTCACACTAGTTACTTTATGGGACGTGGTGACATGGAGGTTGTATTTCAGACGAAACACTCCAAATGTCTCCTCAAAGTTTCTTGCATACTGCCTCATAAGTCTGTCTGCTCTCACAATATCGACACTTGAAACCTACAAGCACGGAGTTCGTGGAGTCTCCGTATAAACCCGTAGTTCCAGGCAGCTCCGTACAGACACGCAGTTCAGCGGGTCCCCGTATAGCGTCGTAAGTGCTTGAAAGTCACTTCTGAGATATAGCGCTTCAAAGTTTTGGATTTACATTGCGCCTTGTGGGCCGCTGGAATTTCAGACAAGAATTACTTTTGAACTAATTGACATATCGAAATGCGGTTTTCGCTGATCGGTAGCCCTTGGTTTCCTCTATACGACGCACTTCATAACTCGAAATTTTCAAAACACATAGTTACGACGCTATACGGCAGCCTGCTGAACTCCGTGTTTGTACCGAGCCCCAGGGAACTGCGTGTTTATACGGAGCCTCCACGAACTCCGTGTGTATAGGTTTCAAGTGTCGATATCATTTTCTTCAATTGAATCCTGATAAAGCAGGTAACAAGCATGAGAAAGTTTGGCAACCATGTCAACATATTGCTGTTCGATGAGGCCTGACAAACATGGCACTGCAAAAAAGAATAGCCAGTTCCTCCATTCACTGCCATTGAACTTTCCTCTATCCTTTATAGATCTTGGTTTTCTGGACATTCGACTTGGAGTCTTGAACTGTAACAATCGTTGGTCAATTTCTCGAACAAGTTGGATATATGGCATTCCAAGAGGGACTCGTGGTGCCAGAGTGACAAGCAGCTTGGTTATATCAGCAGCACAGCCTTCGTGGTCCTGATGTAAGTCATCAACTGCTTGGCCAGCACGAAGGTCATGGTGTTGCAGAAGTAACAGAGGGGAAGTTCCGTGATGTCCCTGAAATGGTACCTGGTCAATTTGCCCAGCATCAATAAACTCTTGAGCTGCAGTCATACCATCACGCATACCATTATGAGTCCTGTCAGCAAACTCAGGCAGACCTTCCACATTAATAATTGGGCACCTCTGACTATGCTCCAGATGCACACCCCTGTGGGTGCAGAAAGTACAACCAAACTGAGCGTTGTACAGGCTCATGTGCAACATTCCTGCTCTAGCTGGTGCGTCCACACACTCACAAAGAGGTGCAAATTTGGTGGTGATCTGGTTGTTGCCATGTGGAGTCCATATGATTCCTCTACTGGACAAGTGATTTAACTGCTTCACAATTGGCTTTAAAAATGAATGAAAGTTAGGGTCGCAATGGTCAACAAAAACAGCAATAACAAAGGAAAACTTTTGACGCATATCAGGAGGCAATTCATTAATGCGTGCATATCCAGGCCATATTTTCAAAGAACCCTTCTTTGTAGCCTTACACCCGTCAAAATTGAATGTGTAGGTGAGGTTGTTGGGATCTGACAAAAATTCACCTTCTTGCTGTAGGCGCTTGTATTCAGACCCATCAAATATATCTTCCAGAGCTGTGGCACTCCTCTTCTGTCTTGTTCTTGGGTATTGCAGTTTTTCCCACATCCCAGGAATTAATAAAAATTGCTTCAGTTGTTTCTTAAAGTCCAAGGTGACAAAGAACCTAGCCTTTTTTTTTCTGACATTGATATCCACATGGACACCGAACTATATCTCCCAACCTGTCTTTCAGTCCAATATACGAACCACACTCACGCTTGCCACAACACACATGTCTTTTCATTCCACATCTATTCAAGTCTATAATATTCCGCAACTTGTCCTTGCTCTCTGGGAAACACCTCTCACCAAAAAGTGCATTCAGGTTCCTGAAGGAATCTCAGACACTTTCAAAAGTCTTCCTGTGCCTAATTGCGTTTGCCAGTTCTAGCACAATAACTTCACCTTTTGTGAGATTGGAATGTAGTTGTAGTTCTACTTCCATCCTCAAGTGATTATTCATAAGATTTGCTGGCTGTTGATTATTTTCCTCTTCATCAGATTCATCTGAGCTGCTGAGGTCTTCCGAGTCATTAGGATCTTCAGGGTCATCAGGGTCGTCTGGGTCGTCGTGGTCAGCATGACCACCAGGGTTGACGTCATTTTGTAGAACACCTTCTTGAGGTTCTGCATGGGGGTTTTCAATTCTAGGTTGTTCGGGCTCTTCATCAAGATAATGTGCTATATATGAATCAGAGCAGAAATCTTCAGATGAAAGAGAGCTTCCTTCGTCAATGTCTGACATGAACAGATCAACAGACTCCTGAAATAGAAATTGTAATCATTAACCATATAAAAATACAGAAATATTAATAATGGTTAGCATAGATACAAAAATTTGAAAGTACAAACCACATCATTGTCCTCTGCATCAAGACTTGCATCAATAGGAAGTGTCGAAGCTGTCAATAGTTTCTCAGATGGTGACCTTTCAGCATTGTTTTGTGTTCTCTTAGTTGCCTCATGAACACCACCATCACAGTTTACATCTTCAGTTGAAAGAGAGCTTCCTTCGTCACTGTCTGAT